ACGTCTCAGTTCCGCCGCTCGAATAGGCCAAGTCTCACATCCATACGATAAAACAGCCCGTACTGCAGCTTGATACACGTCCCCTGAGGATCATAGACAAACCACTTACGTCATAGGTGACTCAAATTAGCAAACGCGGTTCGAGCCTTGCAGATTTGTGCATTCACCACATTTGTCACACTACAATCAGAACTAATACAACTTCCAAGGTACGTAAAACGCTCCACAATTTCCAGTGCCTCTCCCTGGATTGTAAGTGGCGTGTTCAGTGACTGCACGTCCATGAGCATGACCTTACACTTTGTGGGTGCAAAGTACATTCCAAAGGGCGAGATGACTTTTGTCAGTTCATCCAAAAACACCTGCGTCTTCTCTTCGAACACGAGAACGATGTCGTCTACATATTCCAAATCGACAGGGCTTTCTTCACAGGCTATTCGAACACCAGGGTTTTGGAGACCCTCCAGCGTTCGTCTCATTATTTCTTCGATGATGAATTTAAGAAGGAATGGAGAGAGTGGGCATCCCTGACGGACACCGGATGTATAGGAAGTTACAACCACTCATCCCCTCTTTTTTCCTCACTCCCTGGTACATTTCCAACAACGTAAACAACTGGTCACACAGTCTCCGAATTTCACAAATCCATACTGCTGAGTAGTTGTAGTTGGTTGCATGATTCGTGGAACTCACATTCCTATCACTCGTTTGAGCAGTCCTTCTGTTCTGGTGCAGCTTTCATCGGTGGTGCATATTCTTAGCTGTGCTGGGGTTTGGACTCTGGACATTTGATACTCTAGGGGAGCGTGTAACCACTACTGCAAAATCACACGCTGCACGCACCTTAATTTCCACGTCTGAGGAGACGAACGTGCTTACGCCTGGGTAATGTAAGTGGTTTACCCAGCCCCTCGAACGACGACCCAGTAACTTTCCCGATTATATAGATGGATTGACCGGCCTGTCAGGACTTCCCTTTCACCAGAATAACTCCGCCAGGACAGGACTTCTCAACCGAGAGCGATGTGGGCGTGAACCTACGATTAAACTGATGTCGCCTGTTGTGACCGACAGATTCACTTATAGGGCCTTCTAAATGTCAAAGTATCAGCTGTTGTTTATGGTACATAGATAATAATCGTTCAGTTTTAACATCCTTTCGGCGCCTATCTACCATACCACCCGAAGGGAACACGAGGACCGAGGTACTGCCAGGTTTCCCGAGCCTGGACAGGAGCAGTCGTGATACTTGGGTAGGGTTTGGAACCGCGGACATCCCGGTCAGTAATCTCGCGCCCTAACGACGGCGAACAATTTGTACTGGACATCTTTTGCATTTGGTTTTCGCTGAATTGCAAAATCGTATCTTATCCATTTTATTGATAGCTTGATTCAAGTTTCGAACGCTATGGCGCCATTATCGCCAAAAAAGCGCATCGACACCCACATATTAGGTCACATTACTCAAAACTAATGCACACAATGTCTTTGATAGCTCAACCAACATGGTATCCCGAACAAGTTGGAGATTGCTAGTTCATGTTTCATTTCAACTTGCCATTCAGTGGTAACATGTGTGTCGGGGCTTTCCGTTCAGCCATCACTGTTTACCATTGTTCTTGTCCTAGTAATAACTATGCTGAGTACTATGGATTTGAGGTTCGGTTTTTCTTTTGAAAATCCAACCCCCTTGCTGTCTGTTTTGGTTATGTACACTAAAAATATACTGTCCACATTTCTTTACAGCTTTTTATAACCCATCGTAACTTAGTGCTTTGCGAAGAATAGTTTTCCACATTGTGATCATATGATGGACGCCACCTGTCTTATCCGATCAATCGCGAAGGAGCTCAGCGTGGAAAACAACAAAGAAGCGAAAATACGATCGATTGTTCGAATGCGTCCCGTGCTGCGTGCCGTTCAACGCAAGCATGTCATTCCCTACGTATTGTCCATTGCAGAAAAGCACTTATTCAACTTGTAGGTTTTTTTACCTCACCCATTTCATTTTAACCTGCCCATCTCCACACTAGCGCCGGTGACAGTGTGTCTGCTGTTTCACTGTTGACTCCTATTTGGGTGCAATTGATGCAGCGATTGAAGAGTGACAAGAAGGGTAAGTCTGCCTCTTAAGGAAGTCGCGTTTTATGTAAACTCGATGTTCCTTCTCATGTGGAGCTGATATCAAGAATCTAAAATTCATTTTAAATCCTATATACACAATGCATTATTAGATCGAGTGTTTGCTTTTGCATCCACAGTTATTGGCCTGTTGACGCGAATGCTTACTCAGTTTTTGTAGACCTACAGAGTGCGAGATCTAAGGGTCCGTATACGTGGACAGGTTTGTAAAGGAAAGGGATATATTAAACTTTAGTTCTACACCAACGGATAATGTCTGAAAAGTGATTTGAATGATTTAGCCAACTGGCGCAGTTGGGATGAGATTCGAGAATACCAGCATCTTTATACTATAGTTTTCCTATAGCTTGAGGTTTTCGGTCAAGTAGCAGTTGACGTTGAGCTGTTTTTAAATCGAGTTTATGAAAAGCAGGAAAGCGGCGCTCCCTTTCCCATCTGTTTTAAACGCACCATTTAGCGGCACTAATGCAAAACGAATAATTATTATGGGTTTGAAGAAGTTCCATGAGCACAGGAGAGATCCGATATTTTCGGAACCAGTCATCCTGAAGATTCTGGTTAAACTAACTTCAGACCTTGACAAGCTGTCGGACTGTTTTATCTGGATAGCCGTCTTATCCTCGCAAAATACCTGATACTTACTAATTGCTGGGCTTGGCTTTGGCCAGACGTTTCAGCACAAATGTAATCGGGTCTCGTAAAATCCAGCCACTGGAATGCTTTCTTGGTGGGGCATACAATGACGGTTTGGATAGTTGGGTCAATTAACTCTTGGTCGATAGCCTCATGACTACGCGCTTGTTGGCCGGTCTGAACAGCCGGTATATTCGAGTTAGGTTTGAAACGCAGCTCGAGTATCTGTCGAATTTTCCGTGTCAGTTTTGGGTTGGTATTAAGCTTGACTAGGGTGACAGGTGTTTGGTACAGACGGTTTGTGTAAACGGTGACCTAGGCGGATGAGAAGGCGCAGTGTTGCCACAGTGTTGTAACAGCACAGAATGGAAACGGTCAGGACGGGGAGAGGGCTTGGAGTGGAAAATTAGACAAGAATAAAGACCTTGAGGTCAGCTGCTGCCTAAGTGTTACGAATAGAATATCGATTCTGATTGAGCGCGAGAACAAGAATGAATGGCGTAGAATGGATAGTGCTTTACTTGCTTAAGAATAGACGTACATAAGCTGAAAATGAAGGCGAAAGCATGGTTAATACAAAACGATAATGTGAGCACAAAGAATATTCATGACATTCACCCTGGCCGTTGGATTGTGTGTAGAGAGGGATAAATTGGGTACAGGTATTGGATGAGTGATTGTAAAAGTCTAATGAGTAATAATGAGTGTGATAAGGCTTCTCGATTTCTTAGAATGTAGGGCCGTGTACGCTGCTGGAGCCTGGCTAAATCAGAGATGCTAGGGTCATATGTATCTGGAGATGCAGGTGCATTGCCCGGGCACGGGGGTG